AAGAGTAAAGGTCGGAAAAATAATGGGTTAAGATAAAGGCCGTTTAACAAACAAAATAAAACAAGGAATTTCTTCACTGCTTCCATCAGCAGGCAGGTGTTCAGCCATCTCCAGGACAGCAGGGCTCCATCACACGTAATGATTACTTGGGAAGACAAACACCATAAATTCCCCCCCTTCCTTCTTCTTCCCCCAGCTTTATATGTCGTATGGTATGGGATATCCCTTTGGTCAGTTGAGGTCAGCTGACCCAGCTGTGTCCCCTCTCAACTTCTGCACCTCCATCCTGCTTGCTAGTGGGGTGGTGTGAGGAGCAGAAAAGGCCTTAACACTGTGTAAGCACTGCTTAGCAATAATAAAAACATCCCTGTATTATCAACGCTGTTTTCAGCACAAATCCAAAACATAGTCTCCTACTAGCTACTATGAAGAAAATGAAGTATATCTCAGACAAAACCAGCACATTGGTAAATGGTAATTCCTATTTACACTGGGTAATTATGATTTAAAATAATATTTTTACCATGTTTATGCATTGAGCATATACAAATACATTTCTCTCTACTGGATTTTCATTTTGTTAAGCACTAACTTTATATTACTATCTTTTCTTATGTAGCTGGAAAAAATGGCATTTTCTGCTCTTGACATTTTTTCACCTTTTTTTTTTTTTTTAAATTATTATTTTTTCCCCCCTCCCAAGGGTGAAATTCATAGAGTGAGGTCAGATGGAACCAACAGGACGGTTTTTGCTCCAGCAGCTGTCATTGGTGCTCCTATGGGTCTGGCATTGGACTGGATATCTGCAAACCTGTATTACAGTAACCCAGAGACACAGTCAATTGAGGTAATTGTTTAAGAGGAACAATTGGAAACTAAGAGCCTAGATTTTTTCACTGCTACAGGTTGAAATTAGTAATATTTTTGTAAGTGAAAAACTGAAATTAGATTTATTTAAAAATTCAAACAGTCTGTAGAAAAGTACTTCGGAAACTTGAAGTGATAAGACTAAATTTGAGCATAGTTAAAGAGACTGAAAACAGTATATTCTGTGAACTTTATTTGTACATACTTTTTTTTTTCTTCATGTCATTACATCTCTTGTATTTGACACACAACCTCTGTGATCAGTAGAGTTACTATTACTATTATCACTTCAAATAAATTGTCTCAATGCAGTGCCTCTGAAAGTAAAGGAATGTTGCCATCAGCTGCAGTTAAGATCCACTCCCAAATGCTTTGTTATCAGATTGTGTAGCTTTCTGAAGACTAGCAGTCTGATCATATGTGAAGGATAAAATTGCTATTTAGTGTAGCGAGATAGAGGATAAGCAATATATAAAATAGTAATGACTGTGAATTGGCCCAGTCATTAATGTCCTTGTCACAATATATAAATACATACTATTAAATGAAAAGGCAGCTAATTTAAACAAATAAAATGGACTACTTTCTAAATCAACATTTTGTCAAACTGTTCAGTCTGTAATATTTTAAAGATATTATGGAAGCTGAAAGATTAACTACTTTTATACCTAGGATGCTTATTTTATTAACGTAGGTTCTGAGCTGCAAGTGCTTTTTCTTCATAGTATTTGTGAGAGTCTTCTGCAGTTTCAACTCCCTGTGGATTTAGGCTTCCTTCCTTTAATTTGAAAATCTGTCAGAAGTTCTGTATTATGTGGTCTGAGTTCACTGTTTGCATAGGTCCTGAAGCTGCATGGTGATGTAACATACAGAAAAACACTGATTACCAATGATGGCACCTCTCTGGGAGCTGGCGTACCGATTGGTTTGACAGTTGATCCAGCAAGAGGGTAAATTTCCAAAATTGCTGTCGTCTTTGCACATGAGTATATTCTTCACATTTTTCTTAATTTTTAGAGTCTTCAGCTTTCATCCTGGATTTGATATGGGAGGGGGGGGATTTTTTCATATTTATGCAGAATTTATTTACTGTTGTTAAGCCCTAGAAAACAATTGCACAGCTTCATAAATTGTTGCATGGATGTTTATTCTCCTTAATTTACCATATATTTATATGGTTTGTTTGTTTGTTTTTTTATTTTTTTATTAAAAAGAATCTCAGACTGTTATGACTGTGGTGACTGTGGAAAAAAAAAAACCCTCTGAAAAATGGGTACCCAGAATGAAGAAAACTCTAAAGTCTTTCTCTATAAGATATTATAAATATGTTGTGATGGCTGTCTTGAGGCTTGTCTGTAGTAGAAAGACACACTACATGGGAAGAATGTCACATGTTAAATAGCATAGCATTAAATATGATTTTACTGCTCTCTCCCAGAAAGAGCTAGGAGAGAGCAGCTTTTTCTCCAACAGGGTATTCAAAATTGCAGTATGATGCTTTTTTCCCCAAATCACAGTATTCTAGAGGACCATATCAATAATGAAGCAGTTCTGCTGGTGACTTGGTAGACTTTCAGATAAATTGATGCCTGACGTTTTGTCCCTAGTTGGGAGTCTGGCTGCCGTGTGCCCTCGGTATTCTTCAACAACTGAGGCCAGAGCAGTGCACATATTCCCAGAGCCAGACAATGGAATTCTGTTTCATATAGATTTTTTGAACTTGTAGTTTTAATTCCAGGTTGGAACTAAACTCACTGCTGAAACCTTGTAGCCATCTGTGAAAGAGAATTTGTTGTTAACTACTTTCTTGTTATAGTCCTAATACTCTACTGAGTTTATCTGCTTGACAATATTATGGGTGATACAGGGAGGATATGGATTTCTAAAAGTGATTTAACAGGTTTTTTCTCTCTTTTCCAAGAGAAAAAGCTTTTTTTCTCTTTTTTTCAAACAAGATCTCTATTTCATTGTGGCCTGGTTCAAAGTGATCTGTGTTCAACATGTGCTGAAATATTTGACTGAAGAAGGAGATGGATTTAAGCATACGTGCAAGTGACTCTGGTCCATTGATCTGTTATCAACTTTGCTAACAGATCTGATAATGTGTTTTACAGGAAGATGTACTGGACAGACCAGGGAACTGACAGTGGAGTCCCAGCAAAGATTGCCAGTGCAAACATGGATGGATCAGGCATACAAACCCTCTTCACTGGCAACCTTGACCATGTAGAGTTCATTACCATTGACATTAAGGAACAGAAGTTGTACTGGGCTGTCACAAGCACAGGAGTGGTAGGAGATATTTTTTTAATAATTGTTTTTTTACTTGTGGATCTATCTCTGTGTCTGTGGTTCACGTGACTGATTTAGTTACTTTAGTTTACTCATGTAGCTGAGAGTTGCAGCACTGAGCAAAATCTGAATAACTGTTGTTGGTAGTTACCATTAAAAATACATGATTAATTTGAATAAAAAAACAGAAATCATTATGGGCGTCCTGCTGACCCTCTCCTTCCTACCTTGTAAATAAAGATCTCTTGTACATGGGGGTTGGAACTAGATGATCTTTAAGGTCCCTTCCAACCCAAACCATTCTGAGATTCTACATATGAAGAGATTTTAGTAGCATATGTTGCATTTTAATGTATTGTAACATCGAACTTTTATTATAAGAAATGTAATATTAAGCTTTAAACTGATTTCTTAGATTGAAAAAGGCAATGTGGATGGTACAAATCGTGTGACTCTGGTGGTTCATCTTTCTCACCCATGGGGAATTGCTGTGTATGGTACCTTTCTGTACTACACTGATCGAGATTATGAAGTTATTGAACGAGTTGACAAGTCTACAGGAGCAAACAAAGTAGTACTGAGAGATAACGTCCCAAGATTGAAGTGCCTACGTGTGTATTACAGAGACAGTGAGTATTTGCTAGAGATGTTTCAAGATATCCAACTTGTAAAAACTTGAACCTCACTCAAAGACAGAATGCTTGCTCTTTCAAAGCAAATGGTTTGATTAGGCTTTCAGAAGTGTCAGAAGCATTTACCTGGTTTTGGTAAAGAGCTGTTCCACTATTCAGTTAAGGCATCTATCGGCACATGTAGTTTTACTAATATATTGCCAATATAATATTGACTAAATAACAAATTTTGTAACTTTGGCTTCAGATTGATATTTCCATTTTATCTGATTCTTGGCCCCATTGATCTTAGATGACAAGAAACCTGTAAATCCATTGCTAACACTTCTGAGGCTAAGATCTTTATTTTTGTCAGCTGGTTATTAATACTGTGCAAGTAGATGAATTTGGTTATAAATCCATGGGATTTTCTGATGATACAGTTAAGATTTTTCTGTCTTGCAATGTGTGTCTTTCACAGATTCTGCTGGTTCCTCGAATGGCTGCAGTAATAATATTGGAGTTTGCCAGCAGCTTTGCCTGCCTATACCTGGTGGATTATTCTCTTGTGCCTGTGCTACTGGCTTTCAGCTAAATCCTGATAATAGAACCTGTTCCCCATACAGTTCATTTGTAATTGTTTCCATGCTTTCTGCCATTAAAGGATTTAGTTTAGAGACATCTGATCACTCTGAAGCCATGGTGCCACTAGCAGGAAGAGGTATGTGACTATTATAGTAGGAAAATCTTGTAATGCCTATTATTTTGGCATTTCTTGCTGCTGTAGCACGTTTTTAATAAGTTGGTTTATATCAAAGATAATTATTACTTTTCAAAATGTTTCAGGACGAAATGCACTTCATGTGGATGTTCACATGCCTTCTGGTTTCATTTACTGGTGTGACTTCAGTAGCACAATTTCTTCTCAAAATGGAATACGTAGAATTAAACCTGATGGTTCTTATTTTAGAAATGTTGTTACAAATGGAATAGGACGAAATGGGATCCGTGGCATTGCAATTGACTGGGTAGCAGGTAAGCATAACTGCATTTAGGAGGATGTTATTCTTTACAGATTATAAAACTTTTAGACTAACAAAAATGTATCCTAATGGAACTATTTTGGATGAAAGTCCTATGATTCTAACTTGTGTGTCTATGGATTGATTTTAAAACAAGAGCAAGTAATGAATGGCTCTTATGTTTATATATATGTGCAAAAATGAAAGTTTATCAGAGCAGATGTATAGAACCCTTTATCTCATGATTCTTTCATATTTGTCTTAGGTCTTTTTTCTTGTCTGTGCATTCATAAGTAGGTATTGTCCAGTGTACTGCTACACTTTACTACCGTAGTGGAAAACATGTACCAGAGGAGAGTACACAGAAGTTGTCTGATGACACTGTTGATAAGAAAGAAGGACCCTTCATCTGCCTTCAGATTGCTGTATACAAATCCTATAAGTAATACTGAAAAGAAAGCAGAAGAAATACTTTGTCTTGGAACTTAAATTTTCTCACTTGCACTTCCTGTTCCTATTTAAACATACTAGAGATTAATTCAAACATTAACTCTTCATCAACTCTTAAGTAGCTGGCCATTACCATTAATACCTCTATTTTATACGTATATGTACTATTTATGTTTTGCAAAATTTCTTCTGTTGATTAATAGGCTTGGTGGAATGAGTTTTAGAGTAATCATCTACTGTATGCACTTCATTTAGTCACTGCATACAGTGCTGTTCCAGAACATTGATTTCATAGTTGTGCATTTTAAAAGGTAAAGGGATAAGAGTATGGAAGGGCAAGCCAAAGGCTTAGATTAAAAAAAAAAAAAAAAAAAAAAGTATGCCTGAAGAACAGCTGTGGTTAATGAGGATTATTTAGAAATTAATTGACTATTGTCAGTTTAGGTGTCTTCTAATTCCTCAAAATGTAGGCAAGTACCTTACACTTCCAACTACTAAGATGTTTATGGATATTCATTTTACACTTTAGTATTTTATCAGCTCATTTTTCTCAGGTCTTGATGCTGTGTATTTTCTGTTTGTGTTTTTTTTCTTCTTCTTTAAATACAGGAAATCTTTATTTTACAAATGCATTCCTGACAGAGACTTTTATAGAAGTTTTGCGTTTGAACACAACTTATCGCCGTGTTCTGCTTAAAACTACCATAGATATGCCAAGACACATAGTAGTTGACCCAAAAACCAGGTATCTGTTCTGGGCAGATTATGGGCAAAATCCGAAGATCGAACGTGCATTTCTTGACTGCACCAACAGGACAGTTCTTGTGTCTGAGGGCATTGTCACACCTCGTGGACTGGCCATAGATCACAGCAATGGCTACATTTACTGGGTGGATGATTCCTTAGATATGATTGCAAGAATTCAGCCTGATGGTGGTGATGTTGAAATCGTGCGTTATGGCAGTCGCTATCCAACTCCGTATGGTATCACTGTCTTTGGAAATACTATGATCTGGGTGGATCGGAATCTGAAAAAAGTCTTCCAAGCCAGCAAGGAGCCAGGCAATACTGATCAGCCAACAGTCATACGAGACAACATTAATTGGCTAAGGGATGTTACCATTTACAACAGTCATTTCCAGTCACGTTCACCCCTTGATGTTAACAACAATCCTTGTTTGGACAACAACGGGGGCTGTTCTCATCTATGTTTTGCCTTGCCTGACATGCAGACACCTAGATGTGGTTGTGCCTTTGGAACACTAGGCAGTGATGGCAAGAGGTGTTCCATTTCAACTGATGATTACTTGATTTTTGCTCTTGAGAATGGCCTCAGAAGTATCCACCTAGATCCTGAAAATCACAGTCCTCCCTTCCGCACAGTCAATGTGTTAAGAACTGCAGTGGCCCTGGATTTTGACAGCATAAACAACCGAATATATTTTACACAAAGTTATCCTTCAGGAATAGGAAGAATCAGTTATATTAGTATTTTCGCAGGAATTGGCTCTCCAACAGTAGTTGCATCTGGTAAGTGCACCGAAATGTTATACAAAGTAATTGAGTATTGAAAAAAAATGGACTGCAGGACCTAGCACTAGCTCAGCAGGTATGTTAATGGTCAAGGTAGACTATTTAGTTGGGATATTTAATGAAATGCTCCTTTTGTCTCTTCTCATCAGTTTTTTCCTCTTCTGAGATTCTTATTTCATCCTGGTCACAACAGAATGAAAATATAAAGCTGGTTAAATATTATTATATATTTATATATAAATTGTATGTAAAAAATTTAAACTACATATAGTAAATTAATATTATGGAATGAGGGATGATTCCTGCTACTTGGAGAGTAGCAGCCAGAACTTAGGTCTATGTGAGGAAAAGGTCTTTGTAACACTACTGCACACACAGGACTGCCTGAGTCCTAAATATTAGTTCTTCAGATTTTTAAATGGACAAATTTACATTGATACTAATGGCATTTCAAGATGATCTTTGGTGTTACCACATTTTAATAGGTGCTGAGTAGTGCAATATCTCAGGAAACCATACTGAGCTTGTGTGTGTATATGTTTGCTTGCATGTGTCTAAGACCTCGGGACTCCAGATGGCATAGCATTTGACTGGATCAATAACAGAGTTTACTACAGCGAGTACCTCAATCAGACCATCAGCTCAATGGCTGTGGATGGCTCTAACCGCACAGTGATTGCCCGGGTTCCACGACCAAGAGCCATTGTGTTAGATCCCTGCAGAGGGTATGTGTTGCACTTCCTATACTTCATTTTGACTGCAGGTGAAACTACAGTTTAGATTTCAATGAAGACTGCCAGATGTTTCCTGCTCTGAGCCCTAAGTTCTAGCTGTGCATGACTGTCCTAGATATAATTTTTCAGGTTTAAGTTTTCTAAGCCTGAGAGATTTGAATTTTCTTCTGAGATCTTTAGAATATTTATGCATGTGTAATGTCCAAGGCTCCACTTAGTGCGGGTGGGAGCCAGGTACTGGGGATAAATGAGAACAATGTTCAAAGCAGGTGTTTGTCAAGCAACTAACCATCCTCCCTTTCCAGTGTAAATCATAAAAAACAAGGGTATTTGTTGAAACCAAGATTTGTTTGAGAATATCATATAATGATAATCATGTGGCACTGCCAAGAGATCTCTCTATTAAGACTCTTATATGATCTTTCCCTTTTTCTGTTTTATTTCCTGAGTGCCTCAGAAGAATTCTTGTTTCAGTATCAAAACATTCCCTGAGAAGCTGGTGGCATTAGTGTATTATACTATATTTCTAATTTCATTACTAATTATACTATATTTCAAGTGAAGAAAGATAAGAAAGAGATCAATTGACTTTTCTGGATTCCCATAAGAGCTGGAAAAACTTTTCTGAGGTTCACTCCAGTGGAGCCCAGAGATCCCTGCTAGAAGATTCGCTTGTCGATGTGGGCCAAAATAGTGGAAGAAGTTCTTTTCCATTAGTTTTGCACTGTACACTTCAGTGAGAGACGCCACTGTGGAAATACACTGGAGCAGATAAGAGCTTTGTGAGCTTTATTTGCTGAAAATATAACCTTGCAATCATGTTATTGACAGGTATATGTACTGGACTGACTGGAGTTCAAATGCAAAAATAGAACGAGCTACACTTGGAGGAAACTTCAGAACACCTATTGTGACCACCAATTTGGTATGGCCAAACGGGCTTACCCTGGACTATGAAGAACAGCAGCTATACTGGGCTGATGCAAATCTGTATGTGTTGATAACACACTTTATTTTAAATGTGGTTAACTTTTTAATAGACTTATTATTTATTATTCCTCATTTTTTAAACAGTTTTTCAGCATTTCAATTGTATTTGGTACTTTTTATTATATAATCTTAAGAGGTACTTAGTAGCAATGCAATGTCAAGTCTTGCCATTGATGTGGAACTACTGTGCAATAAGTTTTGTTATGCCACAGTGTAGATTTAGTCCACTGCTTTATGACATCTGTCACCACTAGCAGTTTGTTTGCCTTATGTGCAACTCAGGACATTTAAAAGCATCTTCTCTAAAAAATATGATCCCAGTGCACATTTTACATCATTCGTTGCTCATGATTGATGCCTGTCACTTGTGGAATTTGGTATGATGTTCTTGCTGTTGCCTACCAGACAGAACTCTACCCTTTAGTTTATTGCCACCAGAATTTCTGCCATCAGGAGGAAATTTTTTAAAAACAGTTTAGTTTATATCCATTCGGACTCACCCGTGGTCTCAGACAAATTAATGCAGCAATCAGACCTTTCCCCTCTGGTTCCTTCAGCATAGCAGTTCTTTTTCAGGCTTTTCCTTTGCTGTGAGAGAAAAGTGATGTCTCAATGTAATAACTCTTATGGTCTATGTCTGTATGGGATCTTCTGTGAGGAAGGCATTCCTATTTGTATTCGTCTGTGTGCAGGAGGGCAGGACACCTGTAATGGGACCCTCTATTTTGTGGGGAATGCAGCATGTCAAATGGGACATCTTTTCTCTTTCAGACTCTAGTTAATGGAGGCAGGGGAGTATACGCTTAAACAGTGTGAAGTCTTCTTTATTCTGACTTTCATGGGGAGGGCCTTTACCCCTTCAGAAGGACAGATACCAGCATGGAGTAAGTTAGGAAGACCAGACACTCAAAAATGGCAATGCTCCTTAGCTCTGAATGCACCAAGGGATCACAAGGGTGAGCCCTATGTTCTCCTCCATTTTAACTCTTGCTTATGCTAGTCTCCCAAAGGTGCTATTCCTCTTTCTTTAAAATAGAAGACCCTCTTGTTCTAGACCCTCTTGTTGCCTTGTAAGTATTGTGATGCCATGGGGCACATACACAACTCTTGATGTACGTTTCAAGCAGATGGACTGTCTGTGCTAGTTGTACTGCTTTCCCATATCTTCATAGTTGCTGCATGCAACATAGTAAGAATCCCTCACTAGACAGCATGCTTACACTTGGGAACTATGTACAGGGCTGCCCTGGAAAGTTTCCTGTGGCATGAAAAGGGGAAATTACCTTAGTCTGTATCACAGGAGAGTTGCATTTGAACTTTTCTTCTGTAGAAGCACATTTTATAGAAAAGTGTCTTCCTGCACTTTTCCCACAGCTGTTCTCTCACAATAAAGCTTTTGCCTTTTAAAATGTCTGCCTATTATTATTTTTCTGTAATAATTACTAAAATTCTATTTTTTTCTTCTCCTGTTTATATGAAATGCAGCTTTTTCCTTCGTACTAGTGATGACAAAGAAGATGAGCTGTTCAGCTTGTTGAGAAATTTCTTATCTGCTCATTTTCTCATTAGCCATTTCCATTCTTATGCAACCCACACTGGCAATCTAGTAAATGCCTTGAATACAATTGGTAATAATTAAAGTCTCTAGTGGACACTTAAACATACAGTTACTTTGAGGTTAGATAAAGTAATTTCAAGTTACTTTCTTACTGCTAATACTAAGTTGTTGGAGCATTTTTGTGTTTCTTTGAGAACTCTTTTGGTGACTTCAGCTGAAGAGGGTGGAGCTTCCGCTTGGAGTCTCCAGCAACAGCGTTTGTCCCTTCTGACTTCATAGGCAAGAGCTATTGGCCATGCAGTGATGAACAGGGAGAGAAGCTGCTAGCAGGAAGAAAATCACTGGTTATCACAGAATCACAGAATGTTTGAGGTTGGAAGGGACCTCTGAAGGTCATCTAGTCCAACCACCCTGCTCAAGCAGGGACTCCTAGAGCAAATGAACCAGGATTTTGTCCAGATGTTTTTTGAATATCTCCAGGGAGGGAGATTCCACAACCTCTCTGGGCAACCTGTTCCAGTGCTCAGTCACAATCACAGTAAAGAAGTTCTTCCTTATGTTCAGTTGGAACTTCCTATGCTGCAGTTTATGCCTGCTGCCTCTTGTCCTATTGTTGGGTGCCAATGAGAAGAGTCTGGCCCCGTCCTCCAGACACTCTCCCTTTAGATATTTATAAACGTTAATCAGATCCCCTCTGAGCTGTCTTTTCTCCAGGCTGATCAGACCCAACTCCCTCAGCCTTTCCTCATATGAAAGGTGCTTCCGTCCTTTAATCATTTTAGTCACCCTTCACTGGACACACTCTGAGAGTTCCATGTCTTTCCTGAACTGGGGAGCCCAGAACTGGACCCCCCCAGTGGGGGCCTCGCCAGGGCTGAGTAGAGGGGCAGAATCACCTCTCTTGACCTGCTGGCAACACTCTTCCTAATTCAACCCAGAGTACCGTTAGCCTTCCTGGCCACAAGAGCAGACTGCTGGCTCATATTTACCTTGTTGACCACCAGGACTCCCAGGTCCTTCTCTGCAGGGCTGCTTTCCAGGAGGTCAGCCCTCAGCCTGTACTGGTGCATGGGGTTATTCCTTCCCACATGCAGGACCCTGCAATTTCCCTTGTTGAACCTCTTGAGGTTCCTTTCTGCCCATCTCTCCAGCCTGTTGAGGTCTCTCTGAATGGCAGTGCAGCCATCTGGCATATCTGACACTCCTTATAATGTCTTTAGTCCCACAGCTTCCTTATCCTTATTCTTCATAGAGCCATTCTGGGATTCTTATTAGCTCCTTTTCAGAAGCTTGTGTGTGAAAGATGCCACAGCCCCTTAGAGAATGGTTGTGTTCCACTGACATCTTTAAACACCACACCACTTCTTAGGCATTATGCCTTCATGCATAAGCATGCACACTGCCCTACCTGTATCTACTCTTTAGAGATGAGTATTAAGAACAGTGCAGTTGAATGATGCCATACTTGATGGAAGAGAGACAACCCACAGTGTGTTCTTTCTGTTAGTAAGTGGTTGGCAGCCTTGCCATGTGAACATTACGGTGTGACTGAAGAGCAAGATGCTGGGAGCTGGATGCAAGGAATAGCCTTTATCCATGCTCATTCTTGTTCTACCTTCTTCAACTTGCTGACTACCTCATCTCATTTTCAGCATTTGCTTCTGTCATGGTGTTTTTCTGTCAAGCTCTTTCTCCTCCTTTGAATAGCCCTGTATGTTACTTGTTAGTCCTTCTCTTGTTATCCTCATTGCAAATAACTTTTGAACATCCTCCATTTTCTCTTCTCTTCTCTCATACTTTAATCCTGTATGGTCTCAGACAGGAATCTGTGTGGTAAAAGGAACCTCTAACATGTAGCAGTGTTTTATAAACAATGTTTAGAAATAATGTCCTTACATGAATAGTGCATATTGAGTCTCCTGGCACCAGCATGTCTTCTGCTTCCTCACTGGCCTTTGCTGAAGTGGTCATTAGAGGTGAGAATGGTTGAAGGGGAGAGGCAGTAACAAGGTGGTTGTGGGTCAGTCAGTAGTGCTGTCTGTCAGGAAAGA